CTCCACAACCTCTCCAGCATTTATTATTTTGTGTTTTTTGGATTAATGCTAGCCTTGTTGGGGTGAGATGAGATCTCATTGTAGTTTTGATCTCCATTTCTCTAATGGCTAATGATTGTGAGCATTTCTTCATGTGTCTGTTAGCTGCCTGAATATCTTCTTTGGCAAAGTGCCTGTTCATATACTTCGCCCATTTTTTAATTGGGTATTTGTCTTTTTGTTGTTGAAGTTTTGCAGTATCTTGTAGATTTTAGAGATTAGATGCTGATTGGATTTGTCATAGCCAAAATTTTTTTCCCAATCTGTAGGTTGTCTTTTTTACTCTTGGTGAAGTCTTTTGATGATCATAAGTGTTTGATTTTTAGGAGTTCCCATTTATCTAGTCTCTCGTCTAGTGCTTGTACATTGTTACTTATGGTTTGTATTGTGTTTATTCTAGGCTGTAATCTTTATGGAAGCAGACTGCTACATCAGTGGCTGATGACTTCCAACTGCCCATCTTTTGGTTAGCAGCAAGTGCTTAACCACTGTGCCACCAGGGCTCCTTCTTATGATTCCTAGGATATCATAAATACGTGGTTTTCCTCCTAAGTCTAGCTGCTCCTTTTCAGTTTTTGTTGTAATCAAATTCCTGATCTGTAAACATTGACGTGCCCTGGCCTTAGTAGTTGGATCTTTTTTTTTTTTTTTAATACACTTGGTAGGCAAGCTTACCTAGTCTCAAGGCTTTAACTATTCCCTGATGCTGATGATTCCCAAATTTATGTCTTTAGCTCAGATCTCTCCCCTGAATTCAGACTCATATACAGCTGCTAACTCTCTGTCTCCTTTGGATATATAATAGGCTTCTCAAGCTTAATATATCCAAACTGGAGCTCGTGATATATCCTTTAAACGTACTCTTCTGCTAGTCTCTCCATCTTAGTTAATTCTATCTTTCTAATTGTTCAGACCCAAGATCCTGAGTCACCCTTGTCCCCCCTGTTTCTCTCATACCTTATATCTAGTCTTGTCTAAGCATTGGTAGTATGTAATGGGTCATAAAAATAGCTTGAACGAAGGTTTCCTTCTCCCTCTAAATCATAATTTATACTGATTTTTCCTACAGTGGGGAGGGTGGGTGGGTATGTGGGAATCATCACAGTATTTGCTGTAAATATTTCTGCTTTTCAGATGATATCTCTATAAAAGAGAAACCTGCTGAAAAAAGTAAAGAGAAGAAAGTGGTCAAACCAGTACGAAAAGTCCAAAAGGCAATGCAGTTATCAAGTCCAGAATGCAAAACAGGTTAGTTAGTTTTCTCAATATTATGTCCCTCTTAAAATTACAGGTTACTGAAATGGCATCTGTATGAATATAAATATCTGTTACCAAGTGTTCTTATTGTTTGGCACGTGTAAAAATTCAGTACATTTTATTTATCATTTTTTGTGTGTGTTTATGTGTGCTTTATTGAGGTATAATTGACTTAGAATAACTTGTACATATTTAGTGTATAGTTTGGTAAGTTTTCATATATGTATATACCTGTGAAGTTATATGGTCGTCACATGTGTGTGATACGTTCACCATATGGAATAAAATCTATTGCCCCCAAAAGTTTTTCTTCTGTCATTAACTATTATTAATAGAAATAAACCAGATTAAAGGCAATGATTTTTATGTAGTGAATTTTTATATCCAAGCGGATTGCTTATGACTATCACTGTCCCCTCACCTTTTCTCATAAGAGAATAAATGTTGCACAACAAAAGTATGATGGTCCAAGCCAGCAGTTGTCACACTATGAATGGTTCAAGACTGAGAGAAAGAGAATTCCCTAGTTCCATAGTGGCTAACATTGCAGGCTGGATCCAGATTTCCTGTGTTTATAACCTAACTCTGTCATGTCTAACTGTGTTCCTTTGTAAATTAGTTAATATGCCTCAGTTTCCCCATATGCAAAATGGGAAAGCAGTAGCACTTATGTCACAATCTTGTGAGAACTAAAAGTTAATATCTAAAAGCACCCATTGTGGTGGCTGGAACATGGGAAGCACTCGAATGTTAGCTATGAGTCCATTAAGAATTATTATTATTTCTGGCTATACTGAAAATGGCTATTTAATATGTCATAATCAAGTCAGTAAATAATTTGGGCCAAGAGGGAGTAGAAAAAATTGGGAGCTTGCCACTTTCAGTTTGGAGACATTCTTAATCATTCATACATTTCATTGCACAATTACTTTTGAGCACTTGAAATGTCAAAGTTACTATGTAATACAGTGGTGAGCAAGATGGACACAGCCTCTGCCCTGTTGTTGTTGTTGTTAGATGCCATCAAGTTGGTTCTGACTCATAGTGACCCTATATGTACAGCAGAACGAAATGCTGCCTGGTCCTGTGCTGTCCTCACAATTGTTATTCTTGAGCCTGTTGTTGCAGCCACTGTGTCAGTCCATCTCGTTGAGGTTCTGCTCTAGTGGAGTTTATAATCTTGTCAGGAAAATAGTTATATCAGTTACAGTAAAGGGTGATGAATGTTATGATAGAGGATGCATAAGGTCTTATGGGAACACAGAACAATAGTGATTGGGCACTGGTTTTTGACCAAGCTCTGGGGATTTTCAGGTCATAGACTAATCAATAAAAACCAGAAAACTCATTGCCATCAAGTTGATTCTGACTCATGACGATCCCATGTGTTACACAGTAGAACTGCTCTATAGGTTTTCTGAGCTGTCATCTTTAAAGCAGCATATTGCTAGGCCTTTCTTCCATGGCACTGCCGGTTGGGTTCAAACCACCAACCTTTAGGTCAGGTAGTTGAGTGCAAACCATTTGTGCCACTCAAGGACCTAGACTAATCAGTAGAATGGCAAGTAAATATTTTGTGATATCCATTGCTAACTGTAGATGTCATAATAGAGTGACCCTGCTGTATGCAAATAAAAAATAAAATTTTATAGGAATATTCTCTGAAGGCAAATCAAACTAATTCTTACATTTAAAAAATATTGTTTTTAATGTGATACTATTTAATACTGTTGTTAGGGGCATAGTTTGGAATGAAGCACAGGGACCACTATAACTTAGAACACTGATCATGTATTTATCCAGTTTCGTGGTAGGCTAATTCCCATGTACCCACTGTGGCAATGACCTAGACAGTCACTAAATATGCTATTAACAGTTTATCTATAGTGAAAGTCCCCCTTTCTACTAACGACAGCATGAGACTATTTCAGAAAGCCATTTTAGAGAAAAACCATACAGCATATTCAGGAGCCAACATTTATAAATAACTGCACAGTACGTTCATGGTTGCTTGCTTTTGATTCAGAAAATTAAGCTGAAATTGAAGAGAAGCCTGTTCTCTCATTTTGCTTAAGAACGTAGTTTCTTATAAATAGATTGAGCAATAGACTTAAAACTCTTTTAATATTTTAGAGACACTGTTCACGGTTAATAATAAGGTACAAAAACATTTGTTTTTTAAAGTAAGTAGCACACATTTGTAATTGACCTTTCTTTATAACAGATGTTTTCATTAAAACTTGTGTTTAGACTTTTAAATTAAAGCTCTTTTTTTTAGAAGCTCTAAATGGAATGTCTCTTATTATAAATATAATGAAACAACATTACACAGAACTTGAAAAATAGAAGAAGACATAAAACCACTTCCTGACAAATAGTGTATTACGTTACAGTAGTTTTAAAATCACAGTAATATGTGAATGTAACCATTGTATACATAAAATTTTATCTTTTTCTCTTAGCATCTTTTCTCAAGACAATTTCTGATGGATCTTGTAATTTGAAATGGCCACACAATATTCCATCTAGTAGATATATAGTTTAATTAACTATTCACCATTCTTTAATATTTAGGTTACTTCTGATATTATAAGAAATGAAATGGCAACATGTTCATTTCTTCTGGATTATTTCTGTTGGATACATTTCTCTTAGTTGGATTATTTGAACAAGGGAAATGAATAATTTTGGGGTCCCGACACATAATACTGTGTTGTTGTTTTTTTAAGGAAACTGTGCCCATTTGTATTTCAACAATGTATAAGTAGAATGATTTTACTAGCATTGGCTATTATTAATGTAAAGATATTTTTTTCTAATTTAATTAGGCTTAAAGTGCTACTTCATTATTTTCATTTTCATTCAATTTGTTATATTAGCTTTGTATTTAAGCACTTTTTACATATTTACTCCATATTTGTTTTTATAGTTTTTATTTTGTTAACAGTTTTTAATGTCATTTCTTATTTTTTAGGTTATTGCCTATTTTGAGATGATGTCTAATTTTAATTTTCTTATAATCTGGAACTAGTAAATGAAAAGTGTTTCTCCTGGTAAATAGCTGTATTTATTGTAACACACTCATATTTTAATGAACTTCTGTAATCAGGACAGCATTTATAACAGTGTTAACTGTTAAATGTTAAAATTTGATGATACTTATTTTTTGAATGCCATTGTTTTACTCATAAAAAGGTGCATAATTTTGGTATATATCTGTGGTGAAATATAATATGCAAGTCCCTGTAATACCATCTCCTTCAAAGATAATCACTGTTAACTGTTAAATGTTTCCTCGGATTTTTTCCTGTGCTTCAATTAAGTAATTTATTCATTTAGTAAAAAACATTCATTTTACCATGTGCCAGGAACTGTGCCAGGTACTGGTAAACCAAACACTTATAGTTAAGATATTTTTTGTTCTGAGCCAAAATTGTTAGTTTGGTGCCTTAGCTTTTGAGATTTTTAGGCAACATTTAGTACTTGGTTCTTAACTTTCATAGTATTTTACACTTACTTTTAAATATGTGGGTAAATCATGATTTAAACGAACTATTAATTGATTTGGGAAGTTTAGGATTAAAAATAAAATTAGACTCTAACCCTTTTTGACCTTGACAAAGATGAGCATAAGACTAATTACAAACCTGTATGGTGGAGTAGATATATTTCTTAGAGCTAAAATTTAAGTTTTAAATTCAATGCAATATATATATTTTTAGGTAGTAGTCGTCTGATAAGTACATCTTCTTGGCGAGATGGGCAAAAATTAGTAAAGAAGATTCTGGGACCTGCACCCAGAATGGAGCAAAAGGAGCGAAGAACAGTATCAAGTGACAGAAGTGGAAGAGAAAGAACTACTAAATCTGGTGAGCAGCTCTAATTAAAATTGTAGAGAAAACAAAATTGTTGGGAAAAGCAAATAAAAAATTGCTCGTATAAGTACTTAAACCCGTTGATGTCAAGTCAATTCTCACTCATGGCAACCCTGTGGGACAGAGTAGAACTGCCACATAGGGTTTCCAAGACTACATCTTTACAGAAGCAGACTGCCACATCCTTCTCTCAAGGAGTGGCTGTCGGGTTCCAACTGCCGACCTTTCGGTTAGCAGCCGAGCACTTAACCACTGTGCCACCAAGGCTTCTTTCTGTATAAGTCCTTAGTCCCAAACCAAAACCAAACCCATTGCCATCGAGTCGATTCCAACTCATAGTGACCGTGTAGGACAGAGTAGAACTGCCCCGTGGGGTTTCCAAGGAGTGGCTGGTGGATTCAAACTGCTGACCATTTGGTTAGCAGCAGTAGCTCTTCACCACTGTGCCACCAGGGCTGGTATAAGAACTTAGAGAGGTGAAAATACTGTTTTGAGAATACCATTTAGTACTTTGCTTTTTTGTGAATATAGCTCAAAAAAGAAAAAAATGTTCTGTTGGGCTTGGCTATAGATAATATCAGCATACAGGTATTATGGTCATCTTTATTAGGAATTCTGTTTATGTTATATTAATAACAGCTGTCATTATTATGAATATAAAAACATTATTTTAGTCAAATCATATTAGAATTTTAGGGACCTTAAGAGAATGAAGTGTAATCTGTCTCATTCCGAAATACACACATAAATATGGGCAAACATTCACAAGGTTGGATTTGTGTGTGTGTGTGTTAGATTTAGGAAACAGGTTCTGAGAGAGAAGTGATTTTTCTCAAGGGTGTATAGTTTGTGGGTGGTAAAATTCAATCTAGGATCCAGAACTCTTGAGTCTGAACCTTGAGTACATTGCTTTTCTCTTTTTGAAGTATTCTAGATGTTATTTGAAATAACTGGTTACTTTTCATGAGCATTAATTTTTGAAAATGAAAGTTTATAAATACCTACAGGCCAGTTTTCCTTTTCAGCAGCAAAACTTGCCTCAATTCATTTGAGTTTCTGGAATAGATTCAGTAAGAAATGCAATCACAACTATAATTCGGTATATAGAGGTTAATATACTGTATTTTTTGCAAATAATGCGCCCACGTAAATAATGCATCCACACATAGAATGTGCAGCATAGCTCACTTACAAAAACATTTAGGGTGTGTTGTGCGGTTGGCAAAAAAAAAGGTATAATGTGCGCGTTATTTATATAAAACTGTGGTACACTTTATATTTGCCCCTCTTCACTTTCGTCTAGCTTGTAAATAAACTCATGGGCATTTGTAGTCACATCAACAAACATTTAGGTGATAAAACAATATTCTCTATATTTAATTTTTTTCTATCATTCATTGCAGAGTTGTGGAGACTTCACATTCATTCATTTATTCAGCAAATATTTATTGAGTGCCTACTATGTAGCAAGAACTTTCAGAAAAATTAATATTTTTAGTGACCTTATTATGATTTGGATTTGTCATATGCAGTCCGGTCTTTGCAAAGCTTTTAAAATTATCATTATTTTTAAGATTCTTAAGGTAATTTTTCATATTCTAATTCTAATTAGGATACCTTCTAATAAAAGATAGCTGATTTATTAACAACTTCTTTAGGGAAGTGGGGAAAGAGAGAAGTAGCAATATTAAATATGCACATCAACCATAAGATCTGTCCTTATTTCAGAAATGTTAAAAGATGCATTTTAAAAAAAGTAAAGTAAATAATTTTTCAGAAGATTGAAATTTCTCTCTTACTGCTAAAAGAGGAGATTTTCCATTCCTTCGATAATGCTTGAGATCTGAATTTGAGTTTAAGTTAAAGTGAAATTCCTTAATTTTCTCCTTAGTGTAATAAATCTTAGGAATGTCTATTGAATTTTAACATGTCATTAACAGTTCATACTTTGCAGGGAGTCATATTGGAAGAGCAGAATCTGATCCCAGGTTGGATGTTTCACATAGACGTCTTCCACAAAGCTCAGAACGTTCGAGAAGTAGAGCTCGATCTGAAAATAATATAAAGAAATTAGCTCCATCTCTTCCGGATAATAAGCAAGAGGAAGCTACTGCCTTAAATAAGGACTTTTTACCTGTTGAAATTCGTGGAATTCTTGATGACCTGCAGCTGGATTCTGTAACTCAGACTACAAGGCAGGAGACAGGAGAACTACAGAATCAGAAGTTATCAGCACCAGGCCAGGCTCCTAGGAGTCATAGCCCAGTGAAAAGAAAACCTGACAAAATAACTGCTAATGAAGATCCCCCTGTTATTTCCAAAAAACGCCACTATGACACAGATGAGGTACGACAGTACATTGTTAGACAGCAGGAGGAGAGGAAGAGGAAGCAAAATGAAGAGAAGAAGGCTCAAAAGGAGGCGACTGAACAGAAGAATAAGCGATTACAAGAACTGTACCGGAAACAGAAAGAAGCCTTTACTAAAGTAAAAAATGTCCCGCCTTCTGAGCCATCAGCAACTAGGCGACTACAGGAAACTTATTCTAAATTGTTACTAGAAAAGACGTTGCTTGAAGAGCCATCACATCAACAACATGCTACACAGGAAACACAGGTAGGGACAGAAATACAAAGGGGAGTAATTCATGTAAAAGCTTATTTGCCATCCTATTTAAAAGTTACCCACCATTCCTAATATTCAGTGAATGCTCCCACAGTGTTTGTAATGATGACTGTTCATGAAACATATATGAAGAGTAATGTGGTAAATATGATGGAAAATAAGAGCTGAGTTGATTTCCAAGAGTGATTATCACTGATCTCTGTTCATCATGTCAGTGCTGTGAATTATATCCCTGTCTAGTTTTCATCATAAAGAAAACCAGAAATACAAACCCATTGCTGTCGAGTGGATTCCAACTCATAGTGACCCTATAGGACAGAGTAGAACTGCCTCATAGGGTTTCCAAGGAGTGGCTGGGGGATTCAGACTGCTGACCTTTTGGTTAGCAGCCAAGTTCTTAACCACTGTGTCACCAGGGCCCTGTTTTCATCATAGTACTGAACAAATAAAATTAGAGTGTTTAAGTGAAAAACTTGGTTTTGTGATTTGTACTGAACTTAGAGAATATCCTAGTTTAGGGTGATAATTTTATGAATATTGCTAATATTTTTAAGAATAATAACATTGAGTACTTACTGTGTGCCACTTACTTTTAGGCTTAAGCTTCAGTAAATCCTCACAACCCTGAGAAGGGTGGGTACAACTATTATCTTCGTTTATCAGGTGAAAATGAGACTTAGAAAGGTTGTTACTTCCTCCAAATTACACAGTTAGTGTTAATTGCTCTTGCTGGAGTTCAAATGCAGTTTTGCTATTTTAATGCTGTTTTTAAGAGAAGCAATTTGAATTGGTTTTATTTAAGGGAAAAAACCCTACGTTTTATGATCTTTGTAATGCTGAAGTGATTTAATGTTTATGTGCTCTCTAAATATATCTTTGTGATGTGAGTCACATAAATTTGATGTCCTTTTCTCTTAGGCCAGACCAGGGTATCAGCCATCTGGAGAATCCGACAAAGAAAACAAAGTACAGGAACGTCCCCCAAGTGCGTCTTCTAGTAGTGATATGTCTCTATCAGAACCTCCACAGCCTCTTGCAAGGTAAAAAGGGAAGAATGAAAGATGACTAAGGTTCTTTCTTTCCATGAAATTTAGTATGTTGCTGTTAGCTGCCATTGACTTGACTCTGACTCGTGACAACCTTATATACAACAGAACGAAATATTGCCTGGTCTTGCGTTATCCTCAGTCTCCAGCATGTTCAAGTTCATTGTTGCGGCTGTGGTGCCAATCCATCTTACTGAGGATCTCCTACATCCTTGTTGGCCCTCTATTTCACTGAACTTGGTGTCCTCTTCTAGTGATTGTTCTCCTGATAAAGTATCCAAAGGAAGTGAGTCAGACAGTGTTCTGTTGTGATCCATAAGGTTTTCATTGGCTGATTTTCAGAAGTAGATCGCTAAGCCTTTCTTCCTAGTCTGTCTTTATGTGGAAGCTTCAGCGAAATCTGTCCACCATGGGTAACCCTGCTGGTATTTGAAATACTGATGGCATAGCTTCCAGCATTATGGTAACCCGCAAGTCACCACAGTATGACAAACTGACATACAGGTGGTAGAAATTTAGTATAGTGGTCTTAAGATGCTCGGTGAATTCTGTTGACTGACCTTTGGTGTGAGCAAGAGGGCAGAAGGAGATTTACTTAGAAATTAGTTAATATCTTCTGATGGATACTTAAGCATGATGTATAGCTGTACTTATCCCCTGCCCTACTCTACTTGTACGAATTTTACCTGTCCTTCAATGTCCGGTGTAAATGTCATTTCCTATGGGGATTATCTACAGTTGGAAGCACTCTTGCCTCCTCTGAACTGAGCACCCAATAATAATTTATTGGATGAATTAATCACAGTGTTAAAATAACTAAAATTAATATTTTAAAGTATTTGTGGTACATAATTTTCAAAAGATATTTATATATCAATTACTATTCAAAATTTCTTCATATGACTCATAGCAATTTATCCATCTTACCTTTCAAGAACTGTATTTGGATATGCATGTGAACACATAAAGAAGGACTAGGAACTAATTTGATGTGCTTTCGTATTGTGGAATGTGGAAGACTATCTTAAATTTTCTATAAAACCATTTTTTGTTGTAATATACTGTTTACAATAAAGTAAAAAAGTAACTATTTGAGCATAGACGTTAAGGTGATTTTGAGATTATATGTTTATAAATTATACTTAGCAATTACCGTTTTGGAAAAGAAAAAGATTTTGAAAATCTTTGAGCATGCACAAATAGAAATCAAATTGCCTTCCAATTTTGGGTTAATACACATGGTCCTCTTTGTGTCACCCCCCACCACCCCCCAACCCCAGGAGCACACAGGTATGCCTCGCTTAACGTAGACAGTATGTTCTGTGAAATAGGATGTTCTATGATTTGGATGTTGTGCGAACACCATATTATATACAGGAGAGAGGCACGCAGGATGGTCACTGGGTGGCCCAGGACCACACCACCACTGCCCTGCCAGGGGACTGCTTGGAAACTTGGCTTTGCCACCACTGGTCCTGCGTGGTCACTGCCAGATCTCTGAGAGCCATGCCGGGCCCCACCTCCCTGCCTGTAGCAGTGTACTCGCCATTTAGCCACCGGCTCCCATCCCTTCCTTCCTCCTTGCCTGCCTTCCTCACCCCACCTAATAGGCTTTAAACTTTTCTAGCCCCTCCTACTCCTCCTTGCCCCTCCTCCGCCTGCTCCTCCACCTCTGCCTCCTCTTCTGGCCACTTTTCCTGCTTCACCTTCCCACCAGTGCTGCAGCCCGGACCACTGGGCAGCTGCCACTACAGGAGATGCTGTGGTCTTAGGCCCAGGTGTCACATGCAGCCCGGGCTGAGTGGGGCAGCGGCCTCCACCGGGCATCTCCCTCAGTGACTCTGGCGGTGTCTGTGTGGTCACTGCCTGAGGCAAGTGCGATGTGACAGGCAGCCACAGATGGACGCAGGGACCCCCTCTCCCTACTGACTCAGACTGTGGGCGGAAGTGGACCTGGAGAGCTAGTAAGAGACAGATCGGATCTCCATACTTAGCAAAGTACATCTACTACGTCCTGTTCTCAGATAGGGATTTCTGAACTCTATAACATTATGGGATCACGAACGTATATGCGGTCAGACATTGCCCGAATGGTCATTAAGCAACACATACTTTTATAATAATGTTGATAAAAACAGTTAACATTTACAGAGTGCTCATTAGGTTCCAGGCACTGATCTAAGTGCTTTGCGTGTATTATTTTATTATAATCTTTTTATTATTCCTTGAGTTAAGGAGCCCTGGTGGCACAACTGTTAAGCGCTTGGCTGCTAACTAAAAGGCCAGAGGTTCGAACCCACCTGTGGCTCTGTGGGAGAAAGACCTGGCGATCTGCTCCCATAAAGATTGCAGCCTAGAAAAAACCATGGGGCAGTTCTACTCTGTCACATGGGGTTGCTATGAGTTGGAATTGACTTTACAGCACCCAACAACAACAACAACAATTCCTTGAGTTAAGCACTATTGTTATTCCTGTTTTACAGAAGAAATAAAAGATATCTAGAATTTAAGTAACTTTCTCAAAAGTCAGAATGTTAGTGGTGGAGACAGGTTTAACCTAGGCAGTTGGACTCCTGAAGCCTGTGCTTTTTAACCATTATATGTACTGCCTTCCAATATGTGAAGTGTTTTATATGATTTGCTTAAGGCTGTAAACAGATTTCAAACTTTAAGCATAAATAAAGTTAAAAAAAAAATTTGAATTTGAGTACCTTAAGGTAGGGTGGTCCTCTCCAGTTTGTCGCAGCCTCATCACTGTTGTCAGACATACTCTGCTGATGCCAAGTTTTCAATTTTTACCTTTTTCTGAGTTTCCTCCTAACTGTAAATAAGTTACCCAATTTAAAAAACAAAACCAAGCACAAATCTGTTACTAGACCTTACTAACTTGCACCAGTTCCTCTCCTGTCTTTTAATATCAAACTTTTTTGATCTGTGATGTCTAACCTATTGCCTCTAATTTCTCTCTACCCATTTCTTAGCTTCCCCATTCCTGTTAATAGGTTTAACATATCTCAATTACTTTATGCTTGAAAGCATGGCGTTTCTTTTCTTTGCCCTGCATATACTGTCATTCTGGTTTAGCTGTCTGGAAAATTCCAATTTACATATCTGACCTTGACGATCCAGCTCAAAAGTCACTTTTCTTGACCAGCAGATTTAATTGCTCCCTTATCTATACTCTATTGAATTTTATATATCTTTGTTTTAGAGCTTATGATGTTCTGTTTTAGTTATTTGTTTATTACTCTGTCATCCCTACTAGATATTGAGATTTTGAAGTGAAAGAATTAAGTCTTGACTGCATTAAGTCTTTACATCTTTGTCTTCTGTCTCTCTACCAGGAGTCCCTGGGTGGCACAAGTGGTTAAGCGTTCGACTGCTAGTCAAAAGGTTGGCAGTTCAGACCCACCCAGAGGTACCTTGGAAGACAGGCTTGGTGACCTGTTTCCAAAAGGTTTCAGAAAACCCTGTGAAGCAGTTATACTCTGCACACTTAGCGTTGCCATGAGCCGGAATCGACTTGACGGCAACTAACAACAATCCTTTTAACATCAACATAGTGCTCTGTTGCATTATTGGCATTCTGAATACTTGAATTTAAAGCTGTTTGGGTTTTGACTTATCAATATCTTTTTTTTTTTTTAATAAATATTTTCTTGTGCTTTAGGTGCAAGTTTACACTGCAAATTAGTTTCCCATTCAACAATTCGTACACAAATTGTTCCGTAAGATTGGTTGCTGTCCCTGCAGTGTGTCAGCACTCTCCCCATTTCCACCCTGGCTTCCCCGTTTCCATTGTTCTGGTTTCCTTGCCCCTCTTTGCCTTCTCATCTTTGCTTTTGGGCAAATGTTGCCCGTTTGGTCTCATATAGTTGATTGTTCTAAGGAGCACATTCTTTACAGGTGTTACTGTTTATTTTATAGGTCAATCTATTATTTGGGTGAAAGGTGATCACCAGGAGTGGCTTCAGTTCCAGGTTAAAAGGGTGTCTTAGGGCGATAATCTTGAGATTCTCCCAGTCTCTATTATCCCAGTAAATCTGGTCTTTTTTATGAATTTGAGTTTTGTTCTACATTTTTCTCCATCCTAACTGGGACCTTCTATTGTGTCCCTCGTCAGAGTGGTTGGTACTATCTAGTTCTTCTGGTCTTAGGTTAGAGGAGGCTGTGATTCCTGTGGGCCATTAGTTCTGTGGACTAATTACTTCCTTGAGTCTTTGGTTTCCTTCTCTCTCCCTTGTTCCAGATGGGAAGTGACCAATAGTTGTATCTTAGATGGCTGCTCACAAGCTTTTAAGACCCCAGATGCTACTTGCCATGCTAGGATATGTAGAACATTATCTTTATGAACTATGTTGTGCCAGTTGACTTAGATGTTCCCCAAGACATTTGTCCTTAGCCTTCAAGCCCAGTGACACAGTACTACGAAGTACTTGGATATGGCTAAGAAGTTTCCATAGCTGTGTCCCCATGTGCTCTGTTATATATGTGAATATACATGCAGCACATATACATATGTATATACAGATAACCACAACTATATATATGCAATCGCATGCCCTCCCATATGCCCTCCCCCGTATATAGCATACATATATACCAGTGTAACCACTCACAAATTTTTGGTTATTATTGTTGTGGCAGAATTGTATATGGTATAGTAGTTAACTGTTATTTCCCTTTATTCTTTTTCTTTTAATTGTGCTTTAGGTGCAAGTTTACAGAGCAAATTAGTTTCTCATTAAATAACACACAGATTGTTCTGTGATATTGGTTGCCAACCCTGCAGTGTGTCAGCACTCTCCCTTTCGCCACTTGGGTTCCCTGTTTCCATTCATCCAATTTTCCTGTCACTTCCTGCCTTCTCGTCTTTGCTTTTGGGCTGGTGTGCCCACTTAATCTTGAATACATGATTGAACTATGAAGCACGTTCCTCACGTGTGTATTATTATTGGTTTTATAGACCCATCTAATCTTTGGCTGAAATAAAG